AGCAAGTGCAACTGACCGGGTATTTTTAGCTGAGCTTTTTTGTTCTGACTTCCCTGCTGGGCCCTTCTGCGGATGTTCCTCTTCCAAACATTCACTTGACATCTGAAATAAGAAAAAATATAGAATTATGAAGTTATATGTTTAAAGTGCCCCTATCATGCTATTTTAAAGGCTCCTAATTTTGTTTTGGTGGTCTCTTACAAAAGATTTACATGCATCCAAACACCATAATTTTCTCATTGTATAAATTACAGCATCACCTCTTTTCTCAGTGTCAGAAACAGATTGATAAAGAATTCAGTCTCTCTGAACCCTTCCTCAGAGTGCCTACACTTCTCTGATTGGTCGGATGGCCCAGTTTGATGTGATTGGTCTATTGCTACCATATCTGGATTTCAGCTCTTCCTACGCACTTGTACACACAGTGATATGAACCGTAAAGATGGAGTCGGTTTTACCGTATCAATCCTCGAGGTTTTACCTCGAGTCCTTATCCTTTAGAAGTGCTTGCAAAGAGGATTTGCTTTCACAGCACAAAAAAGGAGGATAGAATGGAGAATGGAAGTATGAAGTCTGACATGTTGACAACATAAACCAAACTCTTCCAGGTCTCAGATCAAATCTACGGTGTTTGCCGGCATGACTTACAGGAGCTTTGTAGAAGAGGTTTTCCAGAAGACTCTGATCATATTGAGGGTCGTTGAGTTCACTGTCCATGAGCACGCTGCTGTGATCAGAAAGAGAATCTGGGAGAGAACCCTCGCCGTTCCAGAACTGCATCACAGATCCATTAACACTGAGGAACAGAGCCATTACAAATACTGAAACGTATATTTTCCAAACAAACTCACTCTAAAAGATTTCCACATTTCCTTCAAGTATTTGTGAGCAAAGTTACATTATCTTCACTTAATCTAAAGGTAAGAGTAGCGTTGATTACCTTCCCAGTAGCAAGTCCACTGCCATGTCCTCTGTGTTGACTCTATTCTGACTTGGTTCTTCGAGGTCCTGAGCAGGATGGTGGAATTCTGATTGAAGGATGTTCTCCAGAAACTGTCCTGATGAGGGTCTATCAGGCCTTTTGGAGGAAGATGATGTTTAACACTATTTATCATTTACATTCTGCTATTTCGCTGTCTATTATGACCCCTGATTGGTATGTAGATTAAATAAAAGTGATCATACAAAACGCCACTGTCTTTAAAGAGGGCTGAGGGAACGTCCTTCATAGGAACATCTGACTCCACATCAGACTTTAAGGCTGAAACCACCATGGCATTTCTGAGTTTGCTACCTCGCTCCAGAAGAACTGGAAAATACAACAAAATAAATACAGAATATCACAAATAGGTAAACTACTTAAAGAAAAATAAATATATAATAAATACTATGCATATGCATCAGGTAATTAACCAATTAGTGTCACGTGAATATGAAGAGCTGCCTGGTCATTTTGTCAACAGATTTCAAAACAGAACTGCCACAATGGCTGCACGAAAAAAAAAAAAAAGAATTGGTAACTGTATCTGAGCACTATTAAAAAAGTAGGTTAACATATTTTGAATAAATTTAAAAGAAAAACTCAGGCTCAGTCAGCAGAATTTGGCAATATTGATTTAGTAATTGGCAGATGATCTTTTAATTTGACCAATGTTAAAATTACTTATTCTAAATTTTATACTAAAACAAAGTATTTCATAAAAACTTTTGCTGTCTTCAACAATAATGTCAATATGATGTTTTAAATTCAGTGAATCAAGTCAATGTGTTTTACCTGACAAAAGGTCGACAGGTGTATGGCTATTAGCCAGGAGATTTTGAGAGGAAGCAGGTTTAGGTTTTCCAGTGGAAGACGCTGGCAAGATATTACCACTTTCTTGAAAATACAAGTAATCCTTCCCTCTAAAACAAAAAAATTATTGTTAATTAAAACAAAATCTGTCAAAAGAAATCATTAATTGAAACAAAACAAATAAAATAAATTATTGGATGAAAAAAATTAAGTAAACTTAAGTTTCTTGGCCACTAACTGAAATAAAATAAAAAATTAAAGCTATATATATATATATATATATAATTTATTAAAAAACTAAAGAAACAAAGCTGAAAAATAAATCTGAAAATATACAAAAATTAAAATATGAATTCACCTTTTTATTCTATAGTATTATAATAATATAAATATTTCTAAAATAATTCTGGGGGATAACCCATTTCATACATTTTTTGAAATAAGATCATTTAAATATTTCATCCATATGTTTTGTATTTTCATTGAACTTGTCTGTTCATAAACCACAGTCAAGTCTGAAACTGATTACAAGATCATTCATAAGGATGAATGTTGTTGCAGTGGAACAGCATGTCAACTGAGTGATCTAGTTTATCCCACACTGTTCATTCAACAATCAAATCATCCAAAACATAAAAATAAACCTGGGCATGTGACCGGAGCTGCTGCCAGCTGTCTCCTTCACCCTCGGGAGAGCCTGATCCAGAGATGGCAAAACAGAAATGTTTTGGTCACTTTTTACTCCAGGAGCCTGTGCGTCGAGGCTCATATCAGTCGTGGGTACTGAACTACTGCTGTCATATCCTTCTGTTAACGGTTCCAGGGCAAGCATAACCTATAGTACACGTGAAACAATAACACATGATTAAACTGAGAACCTAAAGAGTGAGAAAAAAAAATCTGCAAAGAACAGTGAATTTGATCAGTTGAAAAAAATGCAAACTCAGCTGAGCACAATCCTACAGCTGAGCATCTCACCAACCTGAAGCTCGCCAAGTTTTTCTGAAGTCGGAGATACAAGTGTGAAATATCCATTTATGGAGTGAGACAAAGAGAGCCGGGCAATGCCAGGGATTTGAGCTCGAGCAATAGGCAAATGATCAACCTTTGTAAGCACATCCAGCACCAATGAGCCCATATCTGTGAAGAAACAAATATTATATTAAGTTATGCATCATAAGTTAGGTTCGTTCACCCAAAAAATGAAAATTCTCTCATCATTTACTCACCCTTATGCCATCCCCGAAGTTTATGACTTTCTTCAAATAAACACAACTTAAGTTTACTTAAAAATCCTTTTTTTTAACCACTACTGAACTTAAGAAGAAGAATAATCCATATCTATGAGTTCATATAATGCAACTGAATGGGTTATGCTTCAGAAGACGATGATTTATCCACTGGGGTCGTATGGATTACTGTCATAATCGCTGTGTTTTTCAAACATCAAACTTGACTTGCATTATATGGACCCATTATATTGCATTAAGGACAACTCTTCTATTTGATTATCTGAAGAAAGAAAGTGATATGTCTGGGATGGCATGAGGGTGGGTAATTGATGAGAGAATCTAAATTTTGGGGTGAACCAACTATCCACCAACAATCAACCATTAAAATAGAAATACACTATATAGACCTGTAACAGCAAGCAACCAAGTCTAACCTGTCAAATAAGACGTCAGCTGTTTTGGTCCACATCGTACTGGAAATCGGGCTGTCGATTTAACCCCTTTCTGTTCAACGTGTCCATCTCTAGGCCTGAAGAAGGTGCCATTGGAAGACTCTCCCCACCATCTGAGCCGGATCAGAGTCACAGGAGGAGCTCTGATGATGGTCCACAGAACTTTACTCACTGTCACTCTCAGAAAACATCTCAGCTGGCCTTCTACCAGAGGAGGAATACTGGTGGATGGAGACACATCACTGAGCACTGCTGAGTGTGGAGAATAAGACAGACATGGAGGTCATACAAGAAGAAAAGCCATTTCAAACCTACAACTAGTTTTTACAATAAACATTCTTCGACGCAACAAACAACAAATAAGCATCAGTCTGTCTCAAAACGGACTGTCCTGCCAATGGTGTTGCAGTCAAATGCTGTCTAAGTAACGTTAGGCAGCTCACTAAGTGTTGAGACACACCTTTTGTCCTCACTAATGTTACGGATTTGAAATCTCTTTAATAGACTGCTGGATTAGCGACAAATAACCACCTCCACACTGATGTAACTTACCTCTTTTTCTGTTGCTTACACCCTTTGAGGGTTTCACCTTTTTGTTCTTCATTCCTCACATCGAGAGTGTACTAAATAACATTATCAATGAATCAAAACTATCATACTTTGTTGACAGTTGCATTAACAAACATAATACCGCTGAGCAACTGCAAAACCAATCAGAGGGCAGAACAACTTCTTCTCTTTGCTTTGCGAATTAGTCAGAGGATGTTCTAGCGCCGCCAAAGGAATTAAATGGAATTACGTTAAATTACAAGGGAACAAAAAGGAGAAAAGTGATACCGCGGACGTTTTACCAAATTGTCAAACCAAAATCTTAAAATGTGATCCCAACATTACTTATTGTGCTCATACTTATATGTACACTTATATTAACAAGTAGCCTATAATAAATAATACACGACATGACATTTTTTGTTTATATTATGCAAAGTTAACAAGGCATTAACTGACACTTAAACTGTAAATAATAAATAATAACATAATTTTATGTAACAAAGGGAACATTAAATAATATTTTGTTAATAGTATTTAAACAGGCAATTAACTGACACTACAAAAACAATAATAGCAATCTTTCATTCATCACAGCATTTAAGGTATTGTTGTTTATAATATTATTGAAAGTTCATAAGGCAAATTATCTTTATTTTCTTCTTTTTTTTAATCACTGGAGTACAGTAAAAAAAAATACTAACCCATAGGTGTTACAGGAGAACTCAATTTTGCCTTGTCAACTTACAGAAATTAAAACAATTCATACTAAAATCACATAACTAAAAATAGAAATAAAAAGTTAAAGCTAAATAGAAACATTTAAAAAACAATTAAATTACAAAATTTTGAAAAACTAATACAACTAATTTTGAAAAATGGTTTTGAAGGTTTTGAAACTAAAGAGATAGGACCCATAGGTACTGTCACTTGTTAGAGCAAAATAGTAGATTATAAGACACAAAGAAACACACAGCCTTTCAAAAATACTCAGTTTAATTGTAGAAGTACATTTATCACAGTAGTAAATAGACAAACAGAATTGAAAGTACCAAAAAATATATTCTTCAATCAGCATCAAAGTTATGCGAAACAAACAAAAAAAGGAGGCTAAACAGAATTGACAGCTACTAATTACAAGCCCCCTGACCTTTCCCAGCAATCTTTTTTGAACACTCTAAAAGAGCATTATGAATGTCTTTAGCACATGAAATCTGTGATTTTATCATACTGAGATACTGAGAGTAAGATAGAGACTCGGTTTGCACCGTGTCTGGCTTGGTGGCTGTAGGTACGAGATTTGGAGAATGCTTTGTGCTGTCGATGCTCTGTGAGAGGCACTCGTGGGCCAGCCGCTGCAGAAAAGAAGTTGAGCCATGATTTAAATCGAAATCATCAGTTTAATAAAATGTAATTGAATGACATATTCAACAGAAACACAACAATTCCTTACCAAACAGAGTTCCAGTTGATCACAGAGAGCATAAAACTCTTCTAAACTTTTGTCAAACCGCTGAATTGCTGCATCATTACCTTTCCTACATTAAGAGAGGTGAAATATATATTATATATATATTTTTTATAATATATTATAAAACGTGTGTTATGCAACCATAACATTTTCCATAATGTATATGTGAAGACTTCAGATGCAAACACCTCGAAGTCTGGCGTTTTTTTTATGAATATTTTTTTTAGGCTATGTTTAGATTCAGTAATTGCACTCAAATGCCATTGAAAATTGTATTAATCAATTATTGAAATGCCTTATTTTCAGAAATGTCACTGATAAGAGCAGATTTAAAAAATAAAAATGCAATTTTTATGAGGTTTTTGCATCTGAAGTCCTTCACACACACACACACACACACATATATATATATATATATATACATGTGTGTTTGTGTGTGTGTGTATATATATATATATACACACACACACGAGAACTTTCTATAAATTGACAATTACAATAGGCTACAGAAAGAATTAAAATGGGATCTTACTCTGTTGTTCTTAAGCCGTTGTCAATAGCAGTATTATGCCCAAAATTTAATGAAGCAATGGTCATGACATTCTGAAAACAAAAAAATTGTAAATGAAAGGTAGTTTCTATCTCAAACAAGTACTGTTAGCTCGTATGCTTAAAGGAATACACCGAACAAACCTGTAAACTATCTTTGAGCAATGGAATCAGCATTTTGAATCTGTGAACGGGGTCAAAATCTTGTTGTTGACTGAGCTGTTGAGCTTGCGTTTGCTGTAAAACAGCCGGTTGTTGAACGCCCATCTGAGCATTATTGGTGTTCATCTGCTGCGACGCCATTGTTGATAATAAACTCGACCACTTCCGCCGCTTGAAGCTACAGTAACGGATGTGAACAAATCAAGCGACAAACGTTGCTGAACTGAACTGGCTCATTTTATGTCGTTTGGGTTGGGGACACTGGTCTACCTATATTAAGTTGTCAGATTTAGTTTTCTCACAATAAATATTGCAACGAATGTAGTCACAATCTGATAAAGGGCCAGATTTTTAATACAATTGTTTCATAAACCACGGTGGGTGAAACGAAAACAAATGGCGCCATCTAGAGGAAAATCTGTGATTACGCGCTGAAATCGGTGATTCAAGCCTAGACAAAATCTGCTTAAAATGTGATGGGGACACACGACACTAAAAGCAGTGAGAAGTTTGAACAGAATGGTCGAGTTTCACTGATATTATTTATAATTATTATAACGAGCTGTTCAAAAGGAACCGACTCGCGAAAATGACTCGGGCTCCCCCTCGCTACAACCAAAGACTGTAACGTTACGAATCAAAGTGTTAAAACGTGGTTAACACGGTAATGAATTTATCCGTTCATTAGTTAACCTTTATGCAATCAGCGTCCGAATTCGTTCTCTTTCTTTCTAACGTTACCATGTGTCATAAAATCCTGGTTCATTGAAACGAACCGTTCGAAAGAACCGACACGCGGACACGAGTCCGACTCCCAATTGCTTCAACCACAAACTGTAAGAATTAAAACCATAGACTGTGAAAAAAAAAAAAAAAGGTTAGAATGGTAATTACATTGGTTTCAATTCATTAGTTAAACTTAACCAACTTCCAAATTTGCTCACTTTCTGACAATATAATGGACCATGATGTAGCTTTTACTAGAGAATGATTGAGCGCATTTAAACAGCAGCATCCCTGTAGAAAGGAAGTCGTCACTGTAACCCGGATGTACACAAAAACACGTGTCAGTGCTTTGCGCGTGTGAGAGAGTGAGTGAGACGTAAGTACGGTGTAAACGTAAATTAATCTGAAATTAGTTGTGGAATACTACTGTCGTATGTTTTGGGGGATGTGCGAACATTAATTTCTCTCATCAGCACGTTCAGTTTTACCATCTGACCAGATAAGCAGTCACAAAAGTGTTCACTGTTAGATTACCGACTCTATAAACTTATTACGGTTTACTGTGTTTATCCAATATTAGCAGCGTTTGCAATCATGTTTGCTGAAGAGGAATGGACTGATTCTCCATCAGCAGATGGAGCATCTCACACTGTTAAAGTGTCTCCTGCACCCTGCAAGGTATTATTATTTTTGTCCCTTATTTAAGAGGTTTGTACTTGAATTTCTTTTTTCACCTGGCACTTCTATCCCAACAGGATAAGTCTGTGGCTAAAAAAAGTCTTTTGAGAACCTTGCAAACGTTGGGGTCAGTTCCTAACTGGGAAATTGAGAAAGTTTTTGAGGATAGTGACGAGGAGAAAGACGCCTCTCCTGAAGTCCAGACAACGAAAAAGAAAAGGTGCAAAAAGCGTAAAAGAAGGTCTAATGCTAATAATGAAGGGAAGCAGCAAGATAAAGTAGATTCACCTGAAACGCCTACGAAGAAGCAGAAGCTAATGAAGAAGGTCGTGAAAGGAATAAGTAAGCGCATGTGCTACTAATTTAATTGGTCAACCATCTTGAACATGACTGACTTTTTCACATCAATTTGTGTTTGCAGGTTCTAAGGGGTCACAAGAGTCCAGAAAAGATAAGAATGACATAGGAGTCAGCCCTCTGTTGGAGGAAAATAAAAGTCAAGCAGAGACAAAGCTAAGCAGAAAGCAGTGGAGGAACAAGATGAAGAACAAAAGACATTGTAAGAACAAGTATCTTACGAAAACGAAAGGTGTCGATGATGCCAATGTAAAGAAGGAACCCTTAGTACAAACACAGGACATCAGCAAATCCAAGAAAGTGCAGAAACAAAAGTCCAAAAAACTGACAGGTGTCGAAGAAGCCAATGAAAAGAAAGAACCCTTAGTACAAACACACGACATCAGCAAATCCAAGAAAGTGCAGAAACAAAATTCCAAAAAAACGAAAAAGTCTTGTGGAAAGAATGGTACTTCCTCCGCAACAGATGATGTTCAAAATTGCAAAGACTTTAAAACAGATAAAACTTCCAGAATAGCAGATCACTCTCTTAGCAACGGTAACATCTCACTTGAAGAGGCCGGAAAAGAGAAACCTTCTAAAATAATGAAAAAATCACAATTACAGGCAATGAAATTGGCTCGTATTTTAAAGTTGAGTCATACTGATGATAGTAATAAAGCCACAGAAGAACCAGAGAAACCAGAAGAACCAAAATGCACAAAAGTGAATTTGAAGAGTGATGAGGAGCAGATGGCAACTGACCCTTCATCTGCTTTAAGGACAAAGATGTTGAGGCAGTTAGAAGCCGGTCGATTTCGCTACATCAATGAGCTGCTTTACACGTCGACCAGTCGTGAGGCCAACCGCATGTTTCAGCAGGACCCAGAGGCCATCGCGGTTTACCACAAGGGCTACACAAGACAAGTTGCCCACTGGCCCACAAACCCTGTGGATTCGATCATTTCCTATATTTGTCAAAAGTGAGAGAACATGCTTTTTGTTGATTTCTATATGTAGGATTATACATCATGGCCATATTCCAGGAAGACAGTGTCAAGATTCATCAGGCTCAAATTGTGAAAGAATGTTTGGAAGGGAGCATGAAGAATCACTTTCACACATGGATTGGCAGTCTTTGAAAGTCTTGAGATGTACTGGAGTAGACTTCAGAGAGTCCTTGACTCTTGCATTGTCAATACAAGATCTTGACCCCCAAAATTGATGCACCTCTTGTGATGTTATTTGATATCAAGAGGTGCATCAATTTGAGCCTGATGAATCTTGACATTGTCATCATGGTTGTTTAAGAAACGAAAAGTTACTGTTCGCTTGAAGGAGTGAATGAAAACAAGTGAGCGAATTCGGACAGCCGTTGAACATACATCGGTTGTAGACTCGCTATTTAGAATGAGTGCACTGAATAATGTCCATCCACAGTGGTTATACGTGGAATGATCTTCCATGATTATAAAAATACATCATTTGAAGATTTTTTTTTTCTTTTTGGATGTCGCTAAATGTCCATGAATTTCCTTTTTCTTTTTTTCTTTTTTTTTCAGGCCACCTTCTTTAGTTGTCGCAGACTTCGGTTGTGGTGACTGTAAAATTGCACGGAGTGTAAAGAATAAAGTACACTCTTTTGATTTGGCTCCGGTTTGTGATCTTGCCACTGCATGTGACATGGCAAACGTAAGTTGTTATTATAGTAATAAAGCTTTTGATTTTGTAATGCAGACAAAATACTAAAGGCAGCACTGTTCATTACTTTTCACAGGTCCCGCTCGGTGATTCTACAGTAGATATCGTTGTTTTCTGTCTTTCTCTGATGGGGACAAATCTGGGAGAGTTTTTAGCAGAAGCAAACAGAGTCCTGGTGATGGGGTAACTGCCTCATATTATTGATATTAACTATTCCTTTAAAAAGTTTATTTAAAAACCCAAACCCGTTGTGTGTCTAACATCAGCCTTTATATATGCTCTTTTCCAAAACAGGGGTGTTCTTAAAATTGCTGAAGTGGCTAGCAGATTTGAAAACATACGTTCGTTCATTGGTGCACTGTCAAGGCTGGGCTTCAAGATAGTCAATAAGGTAATGTTCTGTTTATTTCCAGTGTATGTACAGTACTGTTCAAAGTTTAGGGCTAGTAAGATTTTTAACAATCTATTCATTAAGGATGCATTAAATCGATTAAAAGTGACAAATTTCTATTTCAAATAAACGCTGTTCTTTTGAAATTTCTATTCATCGGAGAACGAATTCGGAGGCTGATTGCATCATAAACTAATAAAGTCATTACCATGTATTAACACTTAGATTTGTACAGCCTGGTTGTAGCGAGGGGAAGCCTGAGTCAACTTCCCATGGATATTAGTGTCGTGCGCAATGAAAAACCGAATCCTAAGACCTAATGGTCAGGTGACCGTGTATGAAAGAATAGCATACTAGAGTGTCTCAGCGTGTTAATTTTCCAACACCCTGATAAAGGATTGTTTGCTGCAATGCTGTTTTTAATGGCATTTAAAGAGTATATTCCAGGTTAGAGGACCCAATGAGTCAATGTATAGAATAATAATGTAGGAACTAGATTTTCTTTAAAATATACATATAAATACACTACAGAGGCTCCCGAGTAGTTTTTGTGAGAAAAATGTACTTTCGCATCTGAAAATGGCCGTGACGTAACGGGCGGAAGAGCGGTCGATTCAAACTACAGGAAAACAATGTATCGCAATGACATTTCAGACGCAGAGGAAATTGTTCATACAAACTTGTATAACATACCATATGTGTTTCATACAAGTATGATGCGTGTACTGTTTCTTTAAAAAGTGACATCTCCAACTACTGGCCTTGCACGCATAATACAGCGTTTTAATCAGCGAGTGAACAGCGATCATTTTAACAACATTGTCGTCTCGTGTAAAATTAATAGGACAGCTGTCAAACAAAATCTATCCAATCATTAGAATAATCTTCTTAATTTTCATAAATGATTGTTAGTTGCAGGTCTAATGCTGAATTAGGGATGGAAAGTCAGGCCAACTTTGCAGTGTTGCAGACTAGGATTGTGCTGTTCTGCAAGTATGCAAATCAATAATGGAATATATTATCAATCACTCTAACATAAAATGTTCCTCAGCTTTTCAGTAAAATAATGGAGATGTGTACATCGAAATGTAGCTTCAATTTACTATCTAATGAATGCAAGCTATTTTTTTCCACTCATTTTTCTTTAGGATACAGAAAACAGCCACTTCTACTCTTTTGAATTCACAAAGACAGATGCAGCAACAGAGGATGCGAAGATAGCTGGACTTCAGCTGAAACCTTGCCTGTACAAGAAACGATAAATAGGCATAAAGTAAATATTTTGCTTTATGGTTGGACTGTGTAGTGTGTATGAAAAGTTTTATCAGCAATAATTCAGTTTAAAACAAGGGGCAAATATCCTCTTGACATTGTATTTGTAACTTTTGTAAATCAATGTAACAGGAACATCCATTGTATAAAAAAAAACTTTAATTTGATTTGCGAAAGGCTGTGTGGAAATTGTTATATATTTGCTTATAATTGGAATAAGCACTTACCTGCAAAACAAACTGACTCGATACGTATTTTAATTGGTCAAGTATTTTATTCTCTTTCTAGAAGTATCACAGTGACATTATTTCACCTAAACATCTCACAACAGAACATCAGTAACACATAAGTCCAGTCATTATTCAGACAAAGACTAAATATATAAGTATTATATAAGTAATAAAAAAAAATCAGACTGGACAGTTGCAGTACTTCACAAATGTATAGATTCCCTCACCATATACTACACAGTCACCAGAGGGTGCTACAGCGTTACAGATTCAGTCAGTTTGTGCACTACAAGTCCAGTTGAAATTACAACAAGATAGAAGACATCAACCAGACGTGTAAAGTATATGTCTGTGCAAATCAGATCGAAATAACAATCTAAAAAGATCGGAAAACATTTATTACAAACGTGCTCACACTGCTACTTAATTATAATGCTGAAAGTAATACCAAGCTACTTAAATCTGGGACTTTGCCCTACAATCGGTATTGGTAATTGAGGAAGTCAATTCCAATGTAAATATACAGTGGTGTCCAAAAGCCTGAGACCCCTAGTGAAATTTCCATATCAAAAATTTCTCTTTCATTACCAGTTGTATTATTTTATATGAAAATGAATGATTGTCTAGGTATGTTCCCCTTTGTGAAAGCATGCACCCAAGCTGGCCTGAACTCTAAAATTATGTGCAAAAACTGATATATAAACCCAACTGGCGATTCACACAGTGCTTTTAACATCTAAAACAATCGAATAGTGCACAAGCTCAGCATAGTGCGGCCCAGCCTCGCTTGGAAGCCCCGTCCTCTCTGGACAACGAGGGTCCTGCATTAGAGCTGAAAGGGACTCGCGCTCGATCCTGTTCTTCTGTTTTAAATAAACAAACAAAAATGTAATACTTGATTTAAATGAGCCAATGATATCTAATTGGACAAATGAATTATAAAACACTTTTGAGTACCTTTTGTGATGAGTGACTTTTCCCACTTTTACTAGAAAGAAATAACAATTGGATAAGATGTTAATTTATATAGGTCTGTTTCTTTATACAACAAAAAAGGCATCACGTTTGCAAATTTAATTGACATCATCAGTCTTTACCACTGAGGCATGAACAATCTGTTTATGTCTTGTGAATAGGAGAGTAGTGGTTGATGTGGTTTTTCGTCTGCCAGCTTGCACAACCCACCATGTATCCTGTTTATGAACACTATGCATGTTATTGGTCTAGGTAAGATACCTTGCTTCCTGTTTGCCTCCACTAATCTCACCTGTATGGGAATATAAAACTAAATTGTACCTAAATGGTGAATGACCCTTTCACAGATCCAATGGCCACCAAAGTGCTTTACATACTGCCTCAGATTCACCCATTCATACACCGACGGCGTTGTCAGCCACGCAAGGCACCAATCAGCTCATCGGGAGCAGCTGGAATTAGGTGTCTTGCTCATGGACACCTCGACACTTGGTCAGGTGGAATCGGGCATTGAACCTCCAACCTTCTGGGTTGTAGACAACGTACAGTACATGAGCCACTGCCGCCCCCAAAGGTTGTTAGAAAGCAACTTTACTCACCAGAGGACAAACAAAACGATGATCAAGATGAGGGCGATTGCAGCGGCTGACGTGAAGCAGATGGTGATGAATATAACTGGAAAATCAGACATAGAATTCTGAGCTAATTCACAGCACATCTATATACCGATATTGATCATCTAGACTAGGGCTGATATGTGCAAAACTCACAGTGTTCGGTCTCTTCACTGGTTACATCCACACGAATGAAAACTTTAGCCATGTGGTGATGGTAAGAGACATGGCATATGTACAGTCCTGCATCCAGTTCAGATACTGGTTCTGTAAAAACTAATGCCATGGCAACAGTGTGTGCTGCTGACCCATCCTCCCTGGGATAAGAACAATTCAGAGGCATGGCTCAGAGAAAAAAAAAATCAATGGTGTGTGTGTAAAAAACACACACACACACACACCATTGTTTAAACTCTGTTTAAACTAATAGATTAAACATAGAGAAAAATGTTGGTTCATTTGTCATCAGCACGTATAAAACAAATTACAATGGGCATTGAAAAAGTTCTGCAATTTCTGCAATCATTTACTCACCCTCATGTCATTTTAAACCTCTTTGACTTTCTTTCGCTCATGGAACATCATCACAACATCATTTTGTTATTATTATTAATTATTATTCTAATAAATATTTCTATTTAGCTTTATTTTCATTTCAGTTTTAGTAATTTTACTTACTACTTCCCTGATTTCAGTTAGTTGTTAAGGGAACATTTCTAATGTACTTTTTTATTAGCTAATATTTAAGCGTTATATTAATCGGCAAAAACAATTTGTAATACATGTAGTTTTGGTTTTAATTGACAGTAGCTTGACGCCATCTGTCTCCATTCATTTTCATTGTATGGAAAAGAGCAGCATGAACATTCTGCTGAATATCTTCTTTTGTGCTTCATAGAAAATCATTCAAGTTTGGGATGAAATGAGTGTGAGTAAGATAATGTGGTAGTGTTCATTAAAAATGACAAACTTAAGGGAACATTGCCCTGTGATAATAGTAAAAGCATGTGATGGTTCAAGCAAAACGAATACTCTAGAATTTCACAGTCTGACGCAGTGAAACATTATTGTGAAAACCTTAACTAGCCCTTTTCTTCTCAATTTATCCCTCTGGGTGTCTGACATAAAAGAAAAATGTGCCATTTAACCTTTAAGAAAGAGAGAGTGCTGTGGTACTGCACCTTTTTTCAGTTTTTTGATGGGCACTATATGAATTCTTAAGTATGTTGTGCCTTATTTAAACATGCATGACTCAACATACCTGTAACACGTCGTCCTGTATGATGATGCATTGCCGTGGGCTCTGAGAAGTATCTTCTGATTAGGGAGGTTTTCTTGCAATGTTATTCGATGCACATGCTGATCATGACTTCTACGACCAAATGTGGTTTTGTTTACAACCTCAATAGATGAGATAGCTGAGTGAAAGAAACAACAGATTACATTTAGCAAATAAAATACATTTAACCAGAAATGAAGAGCCAGAATTCATGCCAATCACCATTTTATAAGTTGCGAAACACTTACAGTATTTTGGAACACGAATCGCCAGTTTCTCATCCCTGCCGAGCTTGTTCTGGATCAGACATATCAAATTCTTTCCCTCATACTGACTGAGTTCAAATTCATAAGTTGAATTGACTTCTACTTTAATTCCGTCATACTTGAACTCAGTGGTTGCTGGAATTGCGGTGTCTTCACCAGGAAGGACCCAGGATATGATGGGTTTCACTCCTTCGCCGCTATACTGGCACACAGCATGCCAAATATGTGTGTATCTCTCTTCGCCCAAAAACACACGGCTTGAAGACGGACCTAATAGCAAAAATGTTTTCATTACTTGATGTATCGACCAGTGTTTTTTTATTAGCCATATAATCTTAAAGGAGTAGTTCACTTTTAAAAAAAACTTTTCCTGATAATTTACTCACCCCCATATGTCATCCAAGATATCATGTCATCCTTTCTTCAGTCGAAAAGAAATTAAGATTTTTGATGAAAACATTCCAGGATTTTTCTCCATATAATGGACTTCAATGGGAACCAAACTGTTCAAGGTCCAAAAGACACTTTCAGTGCAAACTGCAAACTGTTCAAAGGGCTTTAAACGATTCCAGAAGATGAATAAGGGTCTTATCAAGCGAAACGATCGCTCATTTAATTAAGAAAAAACAAAGTTTAGGTTTTATAAGCTCAAATGGTCGCCTTGCTCTGTTGTGATGCGCGTTCGTGACCCTCCTGTTCGAACTCGTTTATCAAAATGAACAATTTTTTCGTTTTTTTCAACAAACGATATGAACGAGTTGACTCTGGAAAAGATTTGTCCATTTGGTTCCCATTGAAGTCCATTATATGGAGAAAAAATCCTGGAATGTTTTCATCAAAAACCATTTCTTTTCGACTGAAGAAAGAAAGATGTAGATATCTTGAATGACATGGGGGTGAGTAAATTATCAGCGAAAGTTTTTTAAAAGTGACTTCTCCTTTTAGGGCAATTCTCATCAAACCATCCGACACCGACCAACAGCAACAGACACGTACGCCAGGCTTTCGCTGTCTGTTGGTGTAGATCAGTGGTTGTTTTCACCAACTGAACATGTTTAATTGGCATTTGTCAGTAGTGGGATGTCTGAGACGTACTGTAATCTGATCATTTGGCGTCTTTCAGTGCAATATGAATTGTACTTTATTCAGCACGAAATTGAAATTTATTATTATTATTATGCCAACTGCTGTTGATTAAGCTTAACTTTTACAGTGATATACAGTGACAATTAGGTCAGTTAATGGTTTGACATTTAATTTCCTAATGTAATAAAATTAATACATTTCAGCTCAAGAGGGTTTTTGGGGTTAATGTAATAATAAAAACCTACCTAAGCGTGGGAGGTCAATAGTCTTGTTCTCTGGTTTCTCTAACCCTTGAAGATCAACCACACAGGTTACACTGCATCCGGCATGCGAGTAAATAGGAATAGGTGCCACATGCTGGACGGCAATCAAATGACTCCGCTGAAAGTCAGGCTGACTCATTACGAACTCACTAGAGCCACTGTCAATGCCATGGCAGTCTACGGCCCAGCTGATGGCTGCTCCTGGAGGCTGGCTCTGCACTGAACACACCAGCCATGCATATGCAACGCCACTGTCCCATTTAATACTAGACTGCAAGGTTATATTTGGTGGTGCTGCAAAAAAGACCAAAATCAATCCATCCATCAGCCCATCCATCAATAAAAAAACATTAGATCATTTGTTGAGTATTTGAATGTCAATTACAATTAAATTTGAATTAAATTCAAATTTGAAATTCAAATTCAGGAATCGAATTTAAAAGGCATTCCCATTTAGGTTCAGAATGGTGCACAGCCCTGCCCTACTGTTGCCCCCAGACTGTGGAAGGCCTTTTTTTTTTCAGGTTCAGGTTCAGTATTTTTATTCACATATACTAAGGCCAAGAAAAAAAAAGATGATCAAGTTTGTGAACTGGTCCCCAAAGAAGCTCTAAAGCTTATACTCGGGGGGCCATAACAATCAAAGAAAAAAGAGAAAAAACAAGCCAAAAAACGACAGCAGATGTGTGGCCATACATAGAAAACATTTCATACAACAAATGATAGGGGATCCCATTTCACAAGTACAGCCTTGCCCATCTCTGTGTCTGGCTGACTCTGTTGACTCTTTTAAAAAAGATCTGAAGACTTGTTTATTTAAGAAAGCTTTTGGTTGATGGGTTTTAACTAGTGTCACTTTGATTTTACATATGTACTATACATAATTTTTTTTATATTGTTTATATAAGCTTGTTTTTACCTTTCTCATATACAGCACTTTGTGATTTTAACTGTGAAAAGCGCTTTAGAAATAAACTTTACTACATGTAGTTTAAACGTCTAGAACTAATTTAGAGAATAAAGAGGCTTTGTTCATGATGACTACAGCTATCAGTGGCACACTTACCACATTTAGGAAGAGCAATCTGCCGCCTCTCTTTTTCCATTAAAGCAGGATGGTCGACTATACACTCAGCTACATATTTGCGTGCCATGCAGCTGGGCACAGTCAAGACACTTTTGACTGAATAAGATCCATTATAGGATGTGACATTAGACTGAATTGTACTATTCATCTCTGGTGAAATGATCCAGGACACGTTTGCAGTGGGAACAGCATTGAAGGCCAAACACTCAATGTGAATGTACCCTGAATTCTCCTCTAAATTCAAACTGATGTTTGGGGGAAATGTCACTAAAAACAAAAACATATTTAAAATGTAAATAGAGTGTAAAATATGAATACAGTTTTATGATAAAATATTATTACAGCAAATACAATACCTGGCAATATAACTTTTGGATTCACTTTAATTGTGAATTGCAGGGATGCTTGATGTCTACGGTAAGAGGCCTGACAGAGATACTGTCCAGCAAGGTGAAGCTCTACGGGACCTCTGATAAAGATATCACTGCCAACCACATCCACATCCTCAGGCAGTGGTAGGCCTTCCCTTGATTAAATGAAACAAAAGTGCAGAGCAAGCATTTCACAACGTGCCTCAGTGTCTTTATGCTGTAGCAAATAAACTAGAATCCAATATGTTTATAATGTGGAGGAAATTGTCTATAACTATCATTGTGTTGGATCAGTATATTATTAATAAATCTTACCTGGAACAGTTCATTTTATAACTTGGTACATTGCCCAAAACATCCATCCTGATTGTAATGCTCGCATCCCCCACCACAAACGCCAGTGAAGTCTGATTCTCACTGTTATCAACAACGTCCTTCAGCAGAAGTGAGGAAAGATCTAGAGGGAACCAAGTTTTACAAGTGAGAGACCGCTTGTGTTGACAGTACATATGTGTATCTATTCAGTTTAAATTGTGCTGGTATACTCACAGTAAACTGGCAAAGTGATTGTCCTTGTGTTTATGAAAGGGAGAAACAAGTAGCCAAAAACACAAGAGATATTTTCCCCTTCATACAGATCTGATGGGAACCGGTAAGAACTTATAACAGAATCTGATTTGGATTCATTTTTCAGTAAAGATGGTGTGTTTTTGAATTCAGGAAGTCTCCATGTGATCTTTGGATTTGGCCTCCCCCCTGTTGCCATGCAGGTGACCTCTTGAAAGTCTTCTCCTCCTTCTTGGACCAGGACGGTCTCCATGCTCATAATAGGAGAAACTGATAAAAAGAAGAAAAGTGCCAATATGAACAGTGGAGGTTCATGAAAAATCCTCCAAATCCTTTCTATTTAGAAAACTGAGACGTGTATCTGTTAGCATGATCTTAAGGTTAAACAAGCTGACATTTGAGTTTAACTGAGTTTTATCAGCTGTTCCTTCTGTTTACCAAGCTGTTGGAGATGCTAACTATAGCCCCAACAAGGACAATTGGTTTAAATGTCATGTTTCAAGAAATAACAAAGTGTAAATTCACTAAAAAGTAGTGGTACTTTTGCGTGCAGTATTTCAAAACCCTATTCACTAAACTCATGCAATCTAGTTTTGCTAGGCACTAAATGCACTGAAATAGCGCATGAGTATTCAAATTAAGCTGTTCTTTTCAGGCCAAATGCTACGCTTTACGTAAATGCCACTTTATAAGTAAACATTGCCTTTGTAGATGGTGTCTTATATATAAGTAAGTATGCATGTTTATAAGTAAATTTGTTACATGTCAAAAATCGACTGCAATTAATTGCGCTATTACCGCTAACATAAGGCAGGAGGTAAACAGAATATTCGTTGTATATTTTCTATCAACAAGAGCTGCAGTAACTGAACACATGATGGAGAACACCATTATAACTGGGCATATATCAAGATGCATGACACTTTCTGCATTTAGAAAGCAGTTTCATGTGCCTTTTTCCCAGGGAATTGCTTCCTAAAACACGCTAAAAATGCTAACTCTGAGAACAGTTCTTGCTGAGTCCACCACTATTCTTAAGCTTGGTAGCAGCCATTTCTGAAAAATATATCCTGTGTTCTGTAATAAACTGTAAGAAACAGAAGTGCTGACATTTTTTCTTCACAGTTTTCCTAAGTTCTTGTTTTCTAAAAGAAAAGCTTCAGAGTAGGCTATGTGACTTTTGTGGTCAGACAGCTGCTGCAAATACCGCAGGAAACACTTGCAACACTGGCGCAAAGTGCAGATAGTATACCAACTAGATTTATCAGTTCTACCTTTCAGGTTTCATAAAAAAAAACTCCAATGCGCAAGAACCGAAAAGTAATTTATGTTGTCTGACACTCCAAATAACGATATCTCTTTTGATTACCTGCATCAAACTTACCAAATGTGTCCACCTCAATGTCGACTCTTTCAGGTTCAGTAAAAGCTGAATGATTGACCACACAGGTAACAGTGCTCTCATTATTCATAATTAAGGGGAAGCGCAGTACACTGATTGAACTGGTTGTGCCATTGGGATGAACTGTATTAGTCATGTTCACAGAGAATATGTCATCTCTTGGAAGGGCCCCAGAGATCTCCCATCTAATCACAGCCTTAGGCTTGGCACTGGAGGCAGAGCAAGTGACAGCATGGTAGAGGGTCCTGTTCACAACTTCCTTCTCCACAGTTACGTCAATATCAGGCCGAGCTTAGAGACGAAACAGAGATACTGATGAGTTTTGCATGTATGTAATCAAAATTAAATGAATAGATCACCCAAAACATGTAAAATGTCTTAATTTACTCACCCTTCATGTCATACATATTTTTTTTACAATTTCAAATTACAATGAAAATTAAGGGGACTTGGCCATTTAAGCTCCAAAACTGACATAAAACAACATACATGTAAACCATTTGACTTTGGTTTCAATTTCAATTGTTCCAATGTTTTATGTCACGGCTGACGTGACGTGTCTTAAAAAGTGACATATTAACAGCTCACTGTTATTGCTTTCATTGTTTGGAAAAGAGGGCCCACGTAATTTTGCAAAATACATTTGTGTGTGTGTTCCATAGAGGAAGAAAAATAGGTTCAGTACAACTTGAGAATGACTAAATTTGAATTTCATTTTTATTAAACTATTCAGAAATCCGTGGCTTATTCAGTCTTCACACTTCAATCTTTATTCATACTCACCAATAACTCTGAAAAACATTGTGTCCTTTATTTCATCTTCATCAGAGTTAAAGACGCATGCATATTCTCCCTCTTGGTCAAGACTTGTCACGTTTATCTTTACGGTAAGGTTTGTAGGAAATGCCGGGATACCGAAGGGTTCTCTGTTGAAAGACTTATTCTGACTGTAGCCTGCCAATTTCCTTGACCTCTTTGAAGAATCCAGCCGGTTCCAGAAGGAGTAAGCGATTTTACTTTGTCCAGTGTACAGACAATGCAGGTAGACGTCCTCTCCCAAAATCCCCGTCACAGTTGGGTTGAGAACCAAGTCTCTGGCCTCTGAATCTATGTATATAAAAAGGAGGGGGAACAATATTACTCGAAGTTTTAATGGCAGAGTCCATTACAGTAATCATTATGGTAACAACTAATTTTATTTGTTATTTACGTTCAATGTGTCCCCTGCTAACCTCACATATATAAAGCACTGTCAGCACTTGGCACTCTTAATAAACTTTGACAGATTTCTTCATTCATGATAGGGCAGCCAACAAAAAGATTTCTTGACATGTCCATTTAACACTCCCAAACATTTTGTGAAATGAATCCTGAAGGACATGTTATGTAACCCAGAGTAGATTAAGAAACAACATTTGTAAAAGGATAGTTCACCCAGACAAAAAAGAAGGAAGTTCTATCATTATTTATTCACCCTCATGTGGTTTCAAACCTGAATGACCATTAATTGTAGAAAGCAAAAGAAGACATTTTGAAGAATGTCCTAGCTGCACTTTTCCATATATTGAAATTTAATGGGGATTTGGCTTGTCAAGCTCCAAAATAACAAAAAGCACCATCAAAAGAATAGAAAGTAGTTTTATGTGATATACAGCAAGTCTTAAGTTATAGGCTACTGAACTTAAGGTCAGGTCAACTACTTTTTGTGGTGCTTTTGCATCCAGTCTCCCTTCATTGTGATGGAAAAGAGCAGGCAGCACATTATTCAAATGTCTAATTTTGTGTGCCAATGAAGAAAGAAAGCCATACAGAATTTAAAAATGACAGGACCATTCACAATGTCACACTGTTCAGAAAAGCTAAAATTATCTTAAAAATGCAATGTATCTGCAACATTACTTACAATGTTTAAAAGGATATACATAAGGCCCTGATTAAAAAAAATTACATCAGCTGCAGCATGCATTGAGTCTGGGATGGAAATTGAGTCGCTTTGCACGAGAGGAAGCAGATGTTTTTGGTTTTTCAATCATGTGACACGATTTTCCAACACAGGTCTTTCACACACATGTTGCGTGCTGCTGTAAACCACACACATACCACTGTACCTGATTCATCGTCATTTAACTGATTACATGCAAACACAATTCTGTTTTCAAAATCACAGCTGCTGAGTGCGTCATCACTACACTGATTTAGTTATAAATATAGACAAAGAAAAAAAAAACAATTGAAATAGACAAAAACACAAATTTCACTTTATTTTCTGCTACTGTACACACTGAACAATTTAAACCACGTTTGACTTTTTTTTTTTAATTTAACCTTTCTGGGGATCTAATTTCACCAGTACTTTCTAAATAAATACAAGACAGAATTTATTGTTTCCATGCCCCATTGGTTTCAGAATGAAAGGGAAATGCCTAAAGCAGAATTTATGAAAGAATCTTCATTCATTGCATGCAGCTCTTCTCAATTAGATAAGCAACACTTCCTTAAAATTCTGCTACAATAACACAATATAGTCTCTAATCAAATAGCATGTACATTTAAAGAAATAATTATATTTTTTGGTGCACAATTGCAGAAAATTGTAATTCCCTCCATTTTTCTCTGGAAATGTCTTTTCAGTGTGAACAAACTGACACATATTCAAATTATCAATCTGTCAAATCAATCAAATTATCAAATCAATCTGTTCTCACAGCCTACCATTTAATATGCAAGCTATTCAAAAGGGCCAGAAAATACAACAGCATCCCCTGATACAAGCTGCTCAAATTAAGCCAAAAATGATTAAACCTGAGAGGATATGAACCTACCTTGCAAATCCATGCTGTGAGCAAGATTCAGAACCATTCCTAAAATAAAAAATATTGGCAGGCCCATGTTGAAGTCATTAAAGAGGGCAACTGGAGCAAAAAACACTTGAATGTATGTGCCAGGGTGTGTGTGTGGTTGAATCTGTTAGGCTGTGGGGCAGAAGAGGTCATAGTCAGCTGCCAATGGTGTGTGTGTGTGTGTGTGTGTGTGTTCCTCAAACCCCAAAATACTCGCGCTTTGAATAACCCACAAACTTCTTGTCTCCACTATACTTTTAAATCATTACCATTTATTCTGTATTTTTTCCTGTATGTTCAGGTGTGACAACAGGTCATGATCTTACAGTAATGCAATTCTAATTACAATATTAAATTATGACTTAGGTGTTTAAAAATGTTTAAAAAGATAAAACCACACATTTAAAAAGATATACCACAAAAGTTTCCTTTTACACTTTACTGCCAACCATTCAGACCAAAGTAATATTTAGAGACACTGGATTGGTCCCATTAAAATGATTTTATGTAAAAAAAAAAAAAAATAGGTTTCACTTTATTTGGATGGTCCCTTTAACACATTCAGTTGACTGTTGTACAAGTCTACTAACTCTCATTAGAGTGTTAGTGGAGTATATTAGTAGACTGGTAGGGCTAGGGAAAGAATAAGTTGACATGTATTTGCAATGTTAGTAGCATAGTTAGTAGAGTGTCTGTTGGAGGAGCATCACTATAAAGAGTTGTCAGATAGTAAGTAGACAGTCTATACTCTATTGAGAGTTAGTTGACATGTTGTACAGGTCTACTAACTCTCATTTAAATGAGTATTAGTAGAGTATTAGACGACTGGGCTAGGGAAAGAATAAGTAACTTGACATGTATTCGCAAAGTTACTTATAGTCAACAGAATGGTCAAAAGGGACAATCAAAATAAAGTGTTACCAAAACAATAAGAATAAAATTAAATTATTTTACTTTTTTTTTCTTTACAGTTATAGTAGTAGTTCTCATAGTGGAGAAGCAGTCAAGACAAGTCAAGCTTTCCTACCCCGTCACTAAAAGTAACTGTCAATCTGTCAGTTATCATTCTTAGTCATACATCCCCTTTCAGTAAGTCCCATTTGAAAAGTGAGTTGTAGAAAATAGAGGTCACCGTTTAGGAAACAACACCAAATCTGTTGACTCATCATACTGAGGTTTCAACGACATTTTTTACTCATTCACCGAACAATGAGAAAGAAGTTTCAGTCCACGGCAGACGCCGCTTGAGGTTTCTCAGTTTCCTACTTCAAATAGTGGGTGTCTGGAGCGTTTGCCGTCTGTTTCGTTGAGATGTACTGTTACTTTCTGCGGATTACTGTGCACAAAAACCATCTCAGATGGGCTCATAAAGATTTACACATTCACTCATAGACATATTTTCACACACGTTTACACCACAGAATGACGGTTATCAAGGTAAACAGGAAGACTATGAGCCAAAGCTCAACCTCAGCAAAGTGTTCCTGTCAGTCACTGTTAAAATCTCCTTTAAAGGTAGTCAGTGGAGCTTGTGCAATATAGGCTCTCTGTTTTGTCCATGTATACATTTTATGTTTTTTTTCTTTTCAGTTAATGATAACTTAATTTATGTTTAAAATGTACTTAGATTGGTAATGAGACTGTACCACTGTCACATCAGTTTGGACGGACTGTAAGAATTGCAATAGCTATGTGGCTTTTGGGGATAAACTTTGATAAGGTGTTTGCTAGTAGCCTACTGCTAATGTTGTGATGCTCTTTTACAAAATACAAATGAAAAGCTCTAAAATGTTACAGTGACTATAAACAGACTATAACTTGAGAAACATGAGACTATAGCACCAGGTTGACACAAGTTACCAATAGACAACAAAGGCATACTCAATGAGGGCTTAAATACATGGGGAAACACTTGAAAACGACAAAAACCAATGACAAAGTACAACTTATCAAAGAAGAACCAATGAAAAGACAGAACTAATCTCAATGTAACAAGATAATTAACCAATGAGGAAGAAGGCTGCACCCAAAACCGCATACTCACTTGAGTAGGTACTTATTTTGAATAAGTACTTTGTGAGTGCTAAAAAAGTAAGTTCTATCCCAGATAGCAAACTGACATTGAATCAACGTGGAAACATGACATCGAAACAACGTTGATCTGACATTGTTTTGCTCATCGAATTAACGTTGAACCAACCACAGACGCGTCATTCTTTCAAAACTAACGGAAAATCAACTTGAAATCAACGTTGTTTCAACGTTATGAAAGCAAACCAATTTTCGATTTTCATTTAGCTTTGAAGAACGCCGCGTCTGATGTTGGTTCAACGTTAATTCCATGAGCAAAACAATGCCAGATCAACGTTGTTTCGATGTGATGAGAGACGTCGTTTCCACGTTGATTCAATGTCAGTTTGCTGTCTGGGATAGTATGAATCAAGATTGTGTGTAGTACGAAAGTATTCCAAATGACCATGTTGTCATTATAATGTGGTCTACCTGCTTTGGTTGGGTCGCTTCATCGCAATTCACAAATCCTCTGCCGTGGCCTTGTGGGAAAGTGTCCATTATTTGCACACTTCAGACAACTCTTTTATGAGTACTGTAAATTCGGAAATACTTATTTTGTCACATACTGTTTTCCGGCTACTACATAGTAGGGAAGTATGAGGAGGAGGAGGAGGAGAAGAAGAAGCCATGTGGCAAGATGACATGAGGGGAAAAGGGGAATCACATGACAAAAACAGAAAACACGACTAAAACACATCTTAATGTCCACACTATCCATCCTAAACAGTATGCGAGATTGAAATAAGTGTGTCCCAAAGCATAGTTGAAAAGCGTATGCCAGAAGTCCCCGGATTGTCTACTATTTTAGAAGTGTGGATCCGTGCTCACTCTAAAGGCTAATATTATGCACAACCCATTGCGCTTTGGAGGGGGGGGGGGGGGGGGACTACAAACACAAGTAGAAAGTGTTAAAAAACTACAAAACATTGTCCACCCGACGGTGAGAGGTTTAGATAAAGGTTTGAGTGACTAATCAAAGTTTATCTGCAATAACAATGTGGACCTTCACAAAGATCCGTTCGGCCATTAAATGTTAAATGCACCATTATGCAGGAACATTATGCCGCGACTGCAGATCAGAGTGCAACTGCATTTCTCTCCGATACGGTAGGAAATGAAATTAAATGAAATGTGGAGGATTTTATCGTCGACAAGATGATTGCCCGGCCAGTTTACTGTGACAGGATGCGACAGAGAGCTACCGTAAAAGACGTGATAATATGTCCCAAAGCCTGTCTACTCTTCTGCTTCACACTCAAAAGTATGCAGTTTTTCTTCATAAAAAAATAAACCATAAATTTTACAGTAAAAAAAACGGCAGCTGTGGCTGCCAGAACTTTACCGTTAAAAATACGGTAGGAACGTTAATGGTTTTACAGACTTAACTTAAAATTTACAGTAATACACTTCAGGCGGCTAGGAGTGCATACTACAACAACATCAAGTCCACGCGCCTGCATGCAACCTTCACTGTCAAGCAAACTTTTGCGTTTTTACCGTTTACACGGGAACGCGGCGGTGGACCGTTTTTAAGATTTCCACTCTGGAGGGTGGTTTCACTTTTTTGCGTTTTTAAGCCTCAAAAACGCCGTCGCCATGTAAACGAAAGGAACATCCGATAAAATATTTTTACGTTTTCACCCACGAGCGTTCTCGTGTAAACAGGGCCCGACGCATCATCAGACAAATTTCTAAATAAAAGTCAAGAACACTTGAACTAGAAAGATGAAACAAGAACAAACGTGACACATTTGGATGGAAATATTGTTTAGTCAGGTAAACCATGCTCTGAATGTACATGTTTATTAGCCATTGCTAATGAAAAGGCCAAGAACTTTAATCCACAATGTGGGCTTCAAGTTTACCAGCTCAATTTTTATTTTTGGCTATTAGTCTCAAAAGGGAACATTAAACATATAATTTTAAAGGAAGAATCATGTTTACATAGAAAGTACTGGTGACAGCGGTAACAGATGGCAGAAGATTTGGTGTCCACACTTCTGAGAGGACGCCAAACTTTCGCCCACCATGCCTGGCAAGCAGTCCACTCCTATGTAAAACTAGCAAACTAGGAAGCTTTTTTCATGCCAACATGCTCTGATGTCCCAACATTGAGGAGTCCACATTTTCTCTAGCCAAGGGAGCATAGTTATGCTCAAGGGACATTTTACTAAGCCCTGCACTCTTCTGTGTCCTTTCGAAGCCCGATGGATAAAATCAAAGTCAAAGTTTCAGTCAAAAATGTATATATCACCATCTATACAGCGACCACAGACAAATTTGCTTTACACTACATCATAGATTTTTTTGATGAAAGTCCAGTCTTGCATGACTAGATGGAGAACAGAATGCTATTAATTAAGTGGCAAGTAATTATAATTACATCTCCTTTCATGCAAGCATTCCTTATTATTTCTTCAAGCTGACACAACAGAAAATCCACACGCAACCTGTGAATGAGACCATAAAGTCCTGCGTGTGGAGGCAGGGCATTGGAGAGAATAATCAATACATTTCTTTAAAGTCGAATCATACATAAATGCTCACTTAAGTGTGCTATATTTTGTCCCCTGGGGAATGTACTTTAAACATAGTCAGCTCGCCACCTGACCGCCCAACCAGATATCATGTATTTGTATGAGGCCCTTAAAAAGATATATAAATATATTGTTTTCAGCAACAGATCTGATCATTTCTAAAATGTGTCTTTTATGATAGGCCCATCAAACTAGAGTAACTTTAAGAAGGAAATTTGAAGTCATATACTACAAGTCATCAGTCATGCAGAGTGCCAAGCACAACGTTTGACTGCCATCTAAGGGTAAAAACTCAAACTGACACAGATGTCCATTAAGGCCACTTCAAAAACAGCATTATATTTACTTTCAGAGGAAGGTACAAATACATTTATTAATTTAGCGGTTGTAACCGTATTACATACATTAGGTGTAATCAGCAGTGTGGCTTGAATAAAAAAGCACATTAATGCTTTCTATCTCATACCTCCATATTATAAAATTAAATAAATGCATGAATAAACCAACAAAAAATCTCCCTAAAACAGTTCTTCCCATGGGTGCGTGCGTCTCTGTGCTGATCTAATAGTTTT